GGTAACTCTACTGTAAAACAGAAGAAGAGGAAATAAAATTACCATGGCTAATAATAATTTACATATGCTAGATATATTTAAAGTAGAAAATGCTTTTAATCTCACGAAGTACTCATGAGATACAGTGCCTAACAATTTAAGTCAGAAAAGGTTGAGCAGTAGAAAGACTGGTATATAACTGGTTTACAACAGATTGCCAAGAATGTGATCGGTTCTTCGTCACTCGGAAACTTTTAAATGCGATTAAATGTATTTGAAGGCATGCTTAATTTAAGCACAAACTGCTAAGGTGGGTGAATAAATTATTGAGTGAAATAGTGTGTCATAATTCACCAAGAAGATCAAATTAGATTTCCATGAATTAAGGATTTAAAATCTGTGAAATGGCACAGTTGACACTAATAAGAAAAAAAGTGATTCAAAAGCACTGGAGTCCATGAAATGTGAGCAGCTCTAGGAGTTAATCTGAGTATTTTCAGTAGAAAACAAGGACTTGGAAGGTCATGTTACTGACATGTAAATCTTTGTAGTCAATTTTTGCAAATGTACAAAAAGGTGATGTATCACGTTAGACAGCTCAGTTCCTACTTACTTAAATTAATGTCTTAGTTTCTGATCTGTAATAGAGAAATAATTCCATTCTCATAGAAAACAAGACTTGCCATTTCTCATTTTAGGCAATTAAATATTGTTGAGATGAGGATTTAAGGACTGAGTGACTTTGAAAAATTTGGCAGTATAGGAATACTTTTAATTTGTTCTCTGTGTTGCAATAGGGTTAGTACTGATCAGTATTATGGGACAGACATATCATCTGTATACATAGCACTTGCTGCCTTGAGGTGGTTCAGGACTTCACCATTCATTCCAATCATATTAAACAGCAACATTTATTCAGTACAGTCAATACCGAAGAAAAGTATTTTTGTGACCAATTTTTCCCAATCTATTTTTGACCCAATACATACCTGCCACACTCAGGTATGTATTAATTATTGCTTGTATGTTCTGAGACTGATGCAGAGGACCATTTGTAGAAAGTCACATTGACTTTTAAGAATTTCATAATGATTCTAAGTTTTCTTGCCACGAATGTGATTTTCTTAGTAATTTTCCTCATTAGTATATGTTAATAACACACAAAGAAAACACCTATCTCTCTCTATATGTATATAGACATATATATTATCTACTTTATTTCCAGAACACTTAAAAATGACAGAAACACATAAATTATATGAACACAATAGCATGCACCATGAGATCAGATAAATGTGTGTGGTTAATCTGTATTTGAAACTACCATGATTTTTCAGGTAACTCTATGAACACTACTAAGCTGAGTCACTTTAGTGCTGTAATTACACATGCATCAAGGCACAGAATTTGTAAGGAGGTGCAATTAATACTACAACCACTTCTTTGAGCTCACATTACCCCACATGTGCTTATAGTAATGATACATATAATTTTGGAATTCTATATTTGAAAATTATGTTATTAATCATAGTTCATACAAGTTCTCTTCAGAAGAATAGCTGAGCATAACTGGTAGTTTTGTTTTTTAATTGATTCCGATTGAGGCTTCTAGTACCTTCTGTTTCACAGAAGATGCACTTTTGAATATTATTCTGATGAAAACAGATGTTCCTTTTTATTTTGACAGTGTTAAATCCCTTGAGCATCAGAATTGCTCTTTTAGGCATTGGGCTGATGGCAGAATCATTATTTATGGTGGTTAATTCTTTCTCTTTTAAAAGATACCAGGTATATGAAAATTGCTAGTATTTTAAGGTTTTAAGAGCTAGTCCCTTACTGATAAGGATAAACAATATATAGTAAAAAAAAAAATATTATCTTTCAGGACTCCTTAAATAGTAGCTTAAACTGGATGGGCAGTGTAATTATTTGGCACAACTTTGATTTTTTAGATCGAGTACAAAAATCACAGCAAAAAGCATATGATCCTAGAACATACTTTCTATTTAAACACCAATATTTTTACATACCCATCTCTGACAACGGATTTTTTAATAAGAATTTTTAAATGGAAATAATAACATAAAAGCTTATAGAATGAGTGTAAGTATGGAAAACCAGAGCTGTGTGGTCATTTGATATTTTGGTTTTTCAGCAAAATTTGAAAAAAAAAAAGGAGATGCTAAAAAGTGGCATGTTCCTGTTTGACCCAGCTGATCATAATAATTAGTCAGGAAGTTAAAAATGTAGGATCAGTTTTGGCTCATTTACCAAGGTATTCTTAAGAGTATCTTTCTTCCCCTATGAAAGTGGTCAAAGAGTTAAAGCTACTATGAGATTCACCTTTCTGTGCTTTTTGTCAACACTATTCCACTGTCTGAGAAGAGTCAAGCATTCACTGGAGCACTGAACTAGGCACTGGGATCCAAGTGTCTCACTTCAGCAAAGGTAGGAATCACCTTGTCTTGCAAGCCCTGGGATGTGTGGATGGGACTTGTCCTGACCCTTGGTTCAAGGCATAGTCCCCACAAACATTAAAAAGCCTGGCACAGTGCAGATGAGGCAAGTGGTGCATGGTGAAGGAGCTGTAGGCAGGCAGGGTGGGAAAACTGCTCATGCTTCTGAAGAGTTTTTATTGCCAAGAAGCAGATTTCCAAAGTATGCTTTGGGACTGGGGCCTGTGTAGTTGTACAGAGATGGCTTCATCCATGGGAACTTAATCTTCACTTTTCAGATGTCATTGCAAACTACATCATTTCATGTTAATTTGTCTTTTTGTAGGGGCAAACTGTTCCTGTGATATGGAGAACAATATCAAACTTATCCTGTTTCAGGCCTGAAATAGTTCTTTTCTTCATTCAACTATTTCCTTATTTCCAACCTTTTCCTTGTCAAAATGTTTTAATGAAGTATTTCTCTGTTAGAACTGCCAGAGGCACGAGGTGGGCACTCCCAGCTCAGCTCACCCTCTCTGGGTGGGGTGGGATGTGCCATGCTCTCTGTAGAATGGGATGACTTCTCCACATAAATGAAACACAAATCATGCATTCTTGGAAGAATGAAACATTTGTGGTTAATCTGAAATTAAGTTTCCCAGAGTTTTAAAAAGGTACTAAAATATTCCCATTTCATATCAACTTTGTTCCAGCTGGTGGTTTTTTTTCTTGTCTTCATTTGGTCATGAGCTAAAGAGGCATTATTCATACAACTGTACATTTTAAGTCACTTGTATATATTACACTGCACGTACCATCACTGAGGATAAAGACTTTTGTTTCTAATCATTTCTGAACTTTATATCATACTGTGCTTATAAAATCCAAGCCAAGGAAAATAATCCAGAAGTGGGTATTACATTACCAGAAAAAATTACTATTAGTACCTCTGGGTTTGGAGATGGAATTCCTGAAATTCCCAGAGATTAAGATTTACTCTGGGCCACACAAATACCCTACATGGAATTCTGTGCAATTTTTCTGGTTTGTTTTTTTGTTTGTTTGGGGCTTTTTGGCATAGCACAGTGTCCCGGGGATATGCAATGGTATGTATTCTATTGTCGCCTCCACGAGCTGTTAAAGCAGGTGGGTAGTGATCGTTATCACCTTGTCCCTGATGGCTCCCTCAGGGGCTGTCTCTGATTAACGAGCTGTCAGGGACCCATACATGGCACATCCTCCCAGTGATCCTTATCCCTTGTCCCACGGTGAGGCGACTCACCCCAGGGGTGGGGAGCCAAACATGCTCACAGGGATATAAGTTGGGGTTTTGGACCAGCACAGGTAGCCCTTTGCCTGCTGGATTCCCAGATCCCACAGAGCTGCTGCTGGACCTTCAGGAGAGGAGCAGATCTGCGGGATCACTGCTCCAACAAACCCATCCCTCCAGGAGGACTGCAGCACCATTCAATCGGACTACTACTATACCCTGACTGACAGGATGTCGGGTTACTTTCTGACTCTCTCAGGTGTTTTTTTTGTACTGTCGCATTTGTTGTTGTTTTGTGGTGTTGTTCATATTAAATTGTACTCCTGACTCGGAGTCTCTCCCCGCTTTGCTTTCAATCCCGCACATGCCCAGAACGCACCGAGCCAGGGTGTGGGAGCAAAGGCCCCGTGGCCCCGTAAGGGAACGCTCTGGCGGCTGTGACATCATAAGGGAACGTGTCAACATAAGATCGGTTGCCAGGGGCATCCCCAGGCAGCTCCACTGCAGGTTGCACACAGGCGACTGGTGAGTGCATCGGCAGGGGAAGGCTGGGCTGGATGGGGGACGGGACAGGTGCCCACAGGGGGTTCTAACCCACAGCAAGAGCCAAGCGCCTCAGGGCTGGGCACAGTACTGCCCTGGGGCCTGGGGGAAGAGGAG